TTATTTTGATATATCACAGTGAAAGATTTATCGTCCTCTTTTTTTTTTTTTTTTTTTTTTTTTTTTTAAAAAAAAAAAAAAAAAAAAAAAAAAAAAAAAAAAAAAAAAAAAAAAAAAAAAAAAAAAAAAAAAAAAAAAAAAAAAAAAAAAAAAGAGCCTCTTGAGAGAAAAAAGAAGACAGGAGGTGAAAGAGATAGAGTAACGGACAGAGAAGTGAAGTATCTGACCAGGATGCTGGTGGAAAGGAAACCAGAATCACAGCTGCGCAGTTAGATGTGGCAGAGACATCACTGCGGCAATACAACACAGTGCTTTGCTTGCACGTACTGAGAGGCCATTTTCCCTAGGGTAGTGGGCTTAGGGATGAATTAATGTTAAGTGCAAAGCAAATGATGGTGTCAATTAATGCAATGAGAAAACTCAACAGCTCATTTTCCCTAGGGTTAATGATTGTGCTCTCTGCCACTTGTTAGCTTATTATGCATTTTTTATTAATTCGTCCCTAAACCAATGAGGGTAGAGTAAATCTCCTGATCTGTTCAAGCACAGTGGTCGCTCTGCCAGTGCTGCCTCATCCCTCCGTGCCACGCCTCCTCCCTTCACCATTGCCCTGGCCACACCCACTGTTCCTTTCAGTCACTGTTTCTTTCATCTTATGCCTTCTTTTCTCTAGAGTTCTTCTGAGCAGCAGAGGACCATTTTCTTCACCACTGAGGGGTTTGAATATTGCTATTTTTCATAAGAAGAGTCTAGATGCTTCTGACTTTAAAAATCCATGGAAGTACAGCTGATAAAAAAAGAACTTCAGATTAAAGAGGCAAACCCTAAAGACAGCAGGTTTTGTAAAATCTAAAAAGAACAAAATGAGCTCGTGTTAGGATTCCTTGTTATTTAGAATAGCAGTTAAAAGCATAGGTTTGGGAACCAAATTTCTTCTTTTTTTCTTCTCACTTCTTTACATCAGACATTGGTCAAGGTGCCTCAGTTACTATTATTTAAAGAGTTTCTATGTCACAGGGTTATTATGAGGCGTACGCTTATATGTAACAGTCACAGTCTAGCACATGGTAAGTGCTAAGCAACCGTTAGTTATCACCCTTACTACTGGCTGATTCACCAAAACAGAAAACACTATAAAACATAATGAAACCCAAGTAGAATGGAAAGGCAATGCGGAAAAAGTGGGTGTCGCTTCCTAGTGAACCCTCACTTTTTCTTTAGAAAATACAGGCAGCACAAAACTTCATAGAAACACCCTCTTGAAAAGTGTATCTTCAACTGTTTTGAAGGTTTCCTGAGAATGCATGGTTCAGTCTGGGAATGAACTCATTTTATAGCTGAAGTAAATGAGAATATTGATCTGAACTAGATCTGAGAGCGTGACCCAGAAGTGAACTGCTCTAAATCGCAGCTGGCTCCCCAGACCTATCCCAACCGTCTCCTGGAGAATCACAGCCCATAAATACCTGAAGCAGAACTTTTGGCTGAAAATGTTCAGTGAAACTCCAGTCCATTAGACTGCGCTGCTGCGTGCTCTTTATGTCCTCCAAATCTACTTCCACCATCATCTTCTTGGGTTTCTAAAAAATCATAGGAACACAATTTCAGCTCTAATTTGTATAGCTCCTCACGGAGCCCTCTTACACTCTGTCAACCCACCAGCAAGCACTCCATTTAATTGGGGAAATCTGCATATGTATAAATCCATATGGCAACATTTTAGGAGAGTCGTTGCCAGAAAGAATATGCCTTTGACTTTTTTTTTATGTGCAACATAATCTAAATATTTTTATTGTTAGGTTATACTCTTCTGAGTCCTGTTAGCAATTATAGGCAGGTTTTTCTGAACTCACTTCAAGACAACGTTAGTTCTACAGGGCTGTATGGTCAGCAGGTGTTTGTGAGGTTGCCAAGCCACACTGTCTAGAGAGGGGTAGGGAGCTGGGAAGTTTGGCTTAAACTGGCTAGGCTAGGAAAATTAACTCCTTTCTCTCCAGTTGGAGTGGGTATGGGGGTGTCTGAATAATTCCTCTCCCCTAGCATCAGGATCTCCCTTTTAAGTCTCTCTCTCTCTCTCTCTCTCTCTCTCTCTCTCTCTCTCTCTCTCTCTCTCTCTCTCATTTCTCAATCTGGTCAGGGCTTTCTCAGATCATCTTACTTGTCATCCACACCTTTAGGAAAATAATTCCGTACCGTTTCAGGAGAATCATCCTCTGTGACTGCTTCATCTTTGATCTCATTCTCCGTGGTCTGCTCTGTAAATCAAAGACACCAACATCCAGTTGTATTCAGGCTTTGTTCTTGCCTTTTTGTTGCCCATATGATTTATGTTCCTGTGCTGAAAAGGTAATTCCTGAAAGGCATGTTTCGTGCCTCCAAAAAGGTGTTTGTGTCAATAATTCTAAATCAAGGCCTACCTAAAATTTATCCTCAACTCTTTGAAAAGAACCCAGCCTCTTATCTCCTGTGTACTAAATCATACCAGCTATTTTGTTTTCAAACTGTGAATCTCTCACTTCTCTCAATGAGCCTTTGCCTCTACAAATTGTAAGTGTGTGCTAGCTAAACTCAATCATGTGCTTAGTGCTTGTCATTCATCTTGGGATGGTGACCATCACACAGTCTTTGCAAATTTCTGTGGGCCTTACTTAATAGATGACAGACCAGGGCAGGGGCAGGGCATGTAGGGACAAGAGGACTAGCAGATAAATTCACTTCCTATTAGAGTGACAGTATTTACCATTCTGTTGAGCTCTTCTTCCACCCATCCATCATTAACTTATTACTTAGTGAGCACGTAAAGATGTACAGAAGGAATTTAACAAGTTAGTTAAATGAATAAATGAGTGGGCAGTTGGACTCCGGTGCACCGTGCCATGGACTGATAAGAGTGATGTACCTTAGATCTCCTGTGAACACGACTAAGCTTATTTGACAATCAGGACTGTGATTTCATGGTTGGCTAGGAAGGAGCAGCCATCTGAATGTATCTGAAGGGAGCAGATCATGTCATTGATTTCTGTATCATAAACTGTTCTGTGATATACAAATGCAACGTGACAAAGAAACACCTTCACTGTGAATGCCTCAGGGCTTGTAATTTGTTCCTGTGGTTGGGAATCTCTAGGAAAGAATTTGATGTAGTATATTCTGTAGACTTTTCCGTATTTGAGCCCCCCCCCCCAAAAAAATGGAGTGCATGCTAGAAGGTCGATCTTTCGAGACTGTTTCGGGAATGTCGCTGAATGCCTGAGTCAACCCGACTTCTTATAAGCTTGAGAAAAATTGCAAATCACACCCTACAAATCTGTGTCTAAATCTGTAGCTCCACTATCCCAACACAACCCATTCACTCTTCCTTGCTCTTCCCACTTCAGGCAGACTGGCCATCTTGCTGTGTGTGGGCGGTTTTATACATGCTTCCCCTCTGTCACGAACAGAGTTTCACACTCTTGCCACCTTCTAACAGCCTCTGTCTCTTGCATTGCTTCATTCTTAGCCGCAGCACTGATTAGTGCCGGATCCTATTTAGGTGTTTACGGCCTGTCCCTCTGCATTGAACCACAGCTGCTGAAGAGCAGGAGCTTTGCCTTGTTTCCCTCAGTGTTCCCTGGCGCCCAGCACAGCACCTGGTAGGAATCTAGCAACGTTCTCCTTTTGATGGAGTGTGGGAAATCTACACCACATAGTGAAACTAGAAATGAGTGTAGTCATATAGATAAAGAAATGTGGACGAAAATCTATAATGAAGGTTTATTTGAGTAGAAGTGTAAGATCTACCTTTTCATTCAGGGGCAAAGGTGTCCATATGTAGGGTTTTAGAGGGGAGACGTTAACGATGCCCACCAGGGACAGGTCAAGATTTTTTTCCCAGGAGCACAGCTACTTACATTTTTTGCCACTTTTCCCTCAGTCCTGGGCTGCTGCAGGTGACAGAATGAATGTTTTGCTTTGGTTTAGAGGAAAACTACAAAGCCAGCTCAGGTCAGCATTTGCAGAAACATCCATTCAAGACAACACTCAGGCCAATTGTAACTTTAACTACACCACGATGTCCCCTGGGTCCTTGAAGCAACTGATATGAAATCTGTGGGATACAAATCCTCCTACTCTTTGGTCTGCCAGAGTTCCAGGAGATTTGACATTCTCTCCTGTGTCTGAGGATCCAGCAGGAAAAACTCTCCAGTTTAGAGAAAATATGTTCTAAAAATTATGCATCAGTTATTTTGTCAAAAAGAGAGAACATTCTAATACTAAGCTGAACTCTTTATTTCACAGTAGAATAAAAATCATTTTTTTTCTTTCTGTCTGATTGCTGCTTTCAACCACATAATCCTTTGACAGTGTGATTCAGTAGTTTTTGACACATCTGGAAATGGATGCTTTCCCTTCCCTTTGAAAAACAGCTCTCCTAATCTGTTTTACTTTAGAGATAACAAGATCCCTCTGCAAAGCAGTTACTTTATTAAAAAAACACCCAACAAGCATAAAGGGCACATCTAAACCTATAGCCTCATGGTTATCAACTCTCAGGTTTTTCATAAATATCCAATAGGCCCTGTCAAGTTCAAAACCAGTCTCAGATGGGAACCTAGTGTTTGGTTAAGAAAAGCACAAATATTCAGCCCTTCATGTCCAGAAACAGGCACATAAATGCATTTGATGGCAAAGTGGTTCTGCAGGAAATGCAAGAATGATTTCTTCTTTGTTTCAAGAGAATTAACGTGGCTGCTTTTGAAGTATGAAGTAGAGTCAGGGGAAAGATTTAAGATCAGCAACAACAGCATCCCCTTACGGGAACAGTCAGAGAGAGGCCAAGGTCAGCTGAGCAGATACAGTGGCTCCTGAGCGTTGGTCTGCATTCACCAGGGAGAAGCACTTAGGGTTATGAGATCTACCCTCAGGATTGCTGGGCCTCCAGGACACACTATCCACAACAGCATTTCAGTAGAGTCTTTGCTCTACACTGGATCCTGAGCACCAGTTTGTGTGGTTTGACCACCAGGTGGCAAAAGTTGCCTGAGGAAAGAAAGCTCTATACCAGCTGCCTTACAGAAAAACAAAACCGAACACACCAAACACCTCTGTCTCTTAACTCTCCCAGTTGATTCTGGTTCCATGTTAAATCATGGTGACCCCTGTCGTATGTCTGTGTTCCCTCAGGATGTACTGATGCCAGAACAACTCAGGTTAACCTCAGGTTAACTTATTCTCTCTCTCTCTCTCTCTCTCTCTCTCTCTCTCTCTCCCTCTCCCTCTCTCATCTAGTCTGTTGGGAAGGAAGAAACAGAAGGCAAGGAAACCAGGGTAAGACTCGAAATGACAGAGGAACTCTGAGCACGGCCAACCACTAGACAGCATCAGGAGAAATTCCTGGGCCAGGGGAAGCCTTGGTTTGAGATGAGGTAGAGAGCAGTACTATCCTGATTTCTTATCTGTATGTGATTGAACAAGCTATTTCAACCCCTCTGTCTTAGTTTGCTCATCTGTTGAACAGAGGGGTTAGTATCTCGCTTATGGACTCAGTGCTTATATGAGGTATTGGCATACATAAGGTTTATACTAAGACACAGCGTTTGGAACACAGCAAGACTCAGTTGTTCTGAGTTTTCTCTTCACCCTTCTTTATTGCCCTCACATATCTGCCCCACTAACAGCAGGTAGTGTTCCCAATTTCCATTCTTCTACTCTGGTCCAGAAAAAGAAAATGCCAAGATGACCATTAGTCAACATCAAGTTGACACCTATTCGCTTATGGAACTTACCTTTATTTTTTAGCATTATAAAATGTAACACACACATAAAAGAGCCCGCAACATGACTCTTCCAGATAACAAATAATTATAAAGAAAAGCCCAGAACTGCTGAGAGCTCACGTGCATCTTTTAATCACCACAACTTCCTTTAGTAAGCTCTAATATTGATTGGAATTTGTCTGGGGGGGGGGAGATGCTACATATAAAATATTTATAAAAATTACAATTTTTATTTTCCTGATAGTTTTATCACATTTTCTTCTCTCCATGATTGACCAGGACTGAAATCAGTTCCTGATATGTGTCTTTCTGATCTTAGAAGACAATGGTTCACATTTTCATCGTGGTATATGATGTTTGTCATAATTTAAAAAGCAACCCTTATAAAAGAGACTTCTTTCTCTTGCCTGCTAAGTTTTTTTCCTTGGTTGCTATGGAAATTTAAGTGCCTTTTATACACTCATCTGTGATTTTTTTCCACCAATATGTTAATTGATAAATTGTATTGGTGTTGCAGTGTGTGAATTTTCCTTCCAATGCTCTTAAAATGTAATTTCATTGGGAGGTTCTATTATCATTTGGCACACTGCTAGACAGAATCTCACGTTTTATTAAAGATTTTAGAATTTATGCTCATGATTGAGTTTGCTTTGAAGTTTTGCTTGTTGACCACCTTTTGTTAATTTTATTATAAAGTTTATGCTAGTTTCAAAAGACAGCCAAGGGAGGATACCAGATCTTTCCATTTTCTGGAATAATTTCTGTTGAGATTACTGTGACTTCCTTATGAGTGTTTGACATCACTTGAGCCAGTGGCATCCTTCAGGCTAGGTATGCCCTCCTTAGGATGGTTTTGAGCAATGAAATCAACTGCTTATAAGACTATTTAGGTTTCCTATTTAGGGGCATCATTTTTGGTAAATTATACCTTTTCATAAATTTTCCCATTTCATTCTCAGATTTAGTGGGATGAAGTTGTTTGCATCTTCTTCCTATCTGCTTTTGTGGTACTGGGGATTCAATTTGGGGCCTTCTAGATGCTAGACAAGCACTTCACCACTGAACTTTATCTCCAGCCCTCTTCTTATTTTGAGACAGGAGCTCACTAAGTACCTAGGCTGGCCTTGAACTCAGTCTGTAGTTCAGGTAGGTCTTGAACCTGTGATCTTCCTGCCTCAGACCCCAGGACCTATGATTACAGGTCGGCACCATCAAGCCCAGCTCGCTTTCTATCTTTTTCATTTCTATAGGACCTGAGTGGCGTTTGCTTCTTTGTTTCTGACAGATTTTAGTTTCTGACATGACCTTATTACTGACATGGTTATTTGCACTTTTCCTTCTTGGTGGCTGGGTTTACATAAAACATTTAGCATCAGGACTTGTTTTTTCAAATAACCAAACTTCTGTGTGTTTTATTCTTCCATGCTGCATGCTTTCCATTCCATTGATTTCCTACTACGCTTATTGCCTGCCTCCTTCTATTTCACTTTAAGTTGCTGTTCAGGTAGTCAACTTTCAGGCTTCCTTTTAGAATGCATTGATTCAAACCCTTGGGAGCCTCTTAACATTATCAGCTGGACATCACATGATTTTACGCTCAGTGTTTCCATTCTCACTCAGTTGGAAATATTTGCTAATTTCTATTGTAACCTGTTCTTTCGCCTAGGTGTGATATATAAATGTGTTGTTTAGTTTTCTGATATGTGGCAGTTTTTCATTCTCTTTTTGTAATTGATGTCCATTATTATTCCAATGTATTATGAAGATGTCTTCTGTGTAACTTTGGTGCTGTGAAATTTGCTTTATGGCCCAGTACAGGGTTAACATTTTTTAAAATACATATACTTATGACTTCTAAGAAGCTCTGGTATTGTGGAGGTCTTAGCATATGAATGACCACAGAAAGTAGCAAAGTGAAGATTAGTTATGATAGGCTTTTTTGGAGGGAGGGGATGTCTTCTTGAGTCAGGGTCTCTCTGTAGCTCCAGCTGGCCTGTAACTCACTCTGCAGACCAAGCTGGTCTCGACCTCTCAGAGATCCGCCTGCCTCTGCCTTCCAAGTGCTGGCATTAAGGTGTGCACCACCATGCCTAGCTTTTCTGCATAGACAGACGTGACAAAGTTTTTGTGGAAGTGCTGCTGAAGGTGGAGAATATTGTATCTAAGGCACAGAGATGGGAAAGAACAGGCTGTGCAGAGGAACCAGGTCCTGATGATGCTTGACTAGAGCACAGAATGAGGGGGTGGGGGGATGGGGGGACAGGTGGAAGGAGATTTTAGAAGAAAGTAGTAGGGTAGTATAGGAGAAGTGTGTTAAGCAGACCACGTTCTACTTTGCAGGTAATAGGGAGCTACTGACAATGATAAAAAGGGAAAGAAAAGAACTGTATTTTAGGTAGACATCTGATAGTTGTATATAGGGGAGTGTCATGCAAATGTAGTCTAGTAACCTTCTGTGCTCTTCTTGCTTCTGTGTTCTTTGGAATAGGTATCTAAAGGAAGGGTAGACTAAGAGGATGCTTTAAAAACAGAGTTGAAAAAAGAGAACTGAGTAGCATCTCTCAGTAAAAATCTTCCTTAACCAATTAACTTAGATAAGATGTTGGCTAGTTTTTCAGTTACATAAAGAAGCACTTGAATTTAAAATTAAACAATATATCTTGAACTTTCATTTAAAGTTTTTAAAAATTTATTTTTAATTTTAAAAATTATTTATCTTTCTTTCCTTTTGTTTATGCATTACACAATAGTGTCTGCATACTCCTTGGCTTACCTAAAAGCTCTGGATGGGGCTGTGTGTTTCTCTTGGTCTCTTTGTCCAATGGTTCTCTTTTATCAGCATCTAAGGGTCTCAGGGTGTTGGAGGTAGAAAGTTTCACATTGTTAGCAGCAGGCTGACCAAGACCTGGAGAATTTCCATGTTCCTCAGCATCTTGCACAATCTCAGGCCAATTCTGATTCACAAATATTATTCTGTCTTTGTTCTCAGTATCTAGGCAATATGAGGAATATCCATTAGAAACAACACCAGAATGACCAATAGTTACAAAAACGTAAGACAAGGGGGCTGGGGAGATGGCTCAGTGGTTAAGAGCACTGGCTGCTCTTGTAGAGGACCCGAGTTCAGTTCCTAGCACCCACATTGTGGCTAATAACCATCTATAACTTCAGTTCCATGGAATCTGATACCCTCTTCTGTCCTCCACAGGCATTGCATGACATAGGCATACTTACATGCATGTAGGCATAACACTTATACACATAAAAACAAACAAACAAACAAATAAATAAATAAAGTGTAAGACATCCCTTTCATGTAGTGTACCTGCTCCAGGTTGGGTCTTCTGGGTGTTGATCTTCTGGATGTAATTCTGCCTTATCTGTTTAGCAAACTTGGCGGGATTGTCCCACGGTATGTTGAACTTTTCAGCACCCATACCACTCGTTGTCCCAGGAGGCTTCAGCTGTCCTGTTTCATCCACCTCTGAGAGCTTCAGGCTCTCAAAAGTAAACACCCTGAAGGCTCGCTCTACTTCATTCCAGCTCAACACCTCTGTAAGATAGCAGAACCATTGCTTCCAGAAAGGCTCTATCATTACACAATGCAAGGCTGACACAGGGGCACTTGAGCAGAGATAAGGGTTCATGCCATGATAGGTGCTGACCTATTTTAAACATGGCAAAGCTCCCCAAAACTAAGAAAATTATACAGTCAAGATATAATATTGCTGAGGGATCTTGCCCCAAAACTTCAGAGCTTAATCAATGTTAGGTGTTGGTATTCAATTGCTTGGACTTCCCAGGGTACCATATTGGTTCCAAATATTTTAGGATTAGTTTTTGTCTAGGGCACATTTTGAATATATTGTACTTTCATCCAGAGAAATCTATCATTTGTGTCTAGCACAGGCAGCAGCCTTTTTTACCTCAAAATTGAAGAAGCAAATCATGTTCTTCTTTAGATCCTAGGCACCCGTGACAAAGACTGGAAGTTACAGGTAGCATAGCCAGTGAGGGGATGATGGACAGCTAAGAGCTGATAAACTTTGGAAGTGCAAATATGAGAAGTAGCAGTTCCTGGGGGAACACAGGGAGGAGGGCGGTGATGGGGGATCCCTGAACCTGAGTGAACAGGAAACCTCCTAAATATAACTTTTTGATCTGGGCATAGTGGTGCATGGCCTGTAATCCCAGTACTTAGGAAACTGAGGCAGGAGGATTGTCATGAGTTCCAGGTGAGCCTAGGTTTCACAGTGAGAACCTGTCTCAAAAAGCAAAAAAGAACAAACAAGAACCATAAAATCAATAAGAAATAAATGCTTTCTGGGATGTTAGTAACTACAATAAAAGCTGATGAGCCAAGCGGTGACCTCCAGCTGTCATGGAGTACAGATTGCAGTGCTGAAGACAGACAAGCATATACAACAGATAGTGGAGGCGAAAAGGAGAATAAAGCCAAATTAGGATACCAGAAGGAAAAATGGAAGGACGGTGTTTCTATTGTATAGAAGAGATGGAGAAAAAAATTCTTGAAATAATAAAGCAAAAAGTGGGAAATGTGTGGAAGAGCAAGCAATGAGGTATGAGACTTAACAGAGATCCGAGCCAGGGTTTGAGTGACATCCCTAAGGAAGCGCAGGGAGGCCACTGTAGATACAGTGGAACAGACACTGAAAGCATAGCAGGCAGTGAGCTGGGGCAGAGATGCAGATAGGGAGGAGGTCTAATGATTAAGATACAAGAAATGCACAAGAATTCAATAAAATATATATTAAAAACTAAAATACATCTTTTTTTAAAGAAGGAAGAAAACAGTGTAGATGGTAGACAGTTTTGATTTTACTCTGAGTGAAATGGGTGACTAGAAGCTTGAGTGAAGAAGACATGATCTGACTAACATTTTAGAAAGTTCATTTTGATTGTTGCATAAATAAAACACTGAAGATAAAAAGGTGGAAGCCCATAGACCAGTTAGAAAGCTGTTGAGGAGCTGGAGAGGTGCTCAGCAGTTAAGAGCACTGGCTGTTCTTGCAGAAGACCCAGGTTCAATTTCTAGCACTCACATAGCAGCTAACAACCGTCTGTAACTCCAGTTCCAGGGGAATCTAGCACCCACTTCTGACCTCTGCAGGCATTGCATGGCATGGGTACACTTGCACACATGCAGGCAATATGTTTATACACATAAAATAAAAATAATAAATAAAAAATATATTACTAAACAAAGCCATTGAAATGGTCCCAGTGAGAAGTGATGGACTGGAATGTGAAGGGAAAAAGGAAGCACGTGACGTCAGGTTTTAACCTGTATCCTAGAAGCCCAGGGTACTCTGAGATGAGATGAGATTATAAATATTTTATATGTATGTACAATTTTTAATGTGCTGTTGAATTTGGTTTACTAGTATTCTAAATTTCTCGAGGAGTTTTACATATGCATTCATTAGGAATATTGGTCACTAACCTCCTTTTTAAAAATTTCTTTGAGATTTCATACATATACAATGTATTTTGATCAGAATTCGCCCCCCCCATTATCCAACTCCAACTCTTCCCAGTCCCCCATCCATCTCCCGACTTCATCTAATGATCCCTCTTCCTACTGCCCTTCCTGTCATGAGAGGATGCTTGTTAGCTTGAATCCACTCACTTTCAGTAACATGCTGACAAGGGCCATCTGTTCATCCTGGTATCTCCAGAACTAAGATCAGTTATAGCACAGAAAAGGTATGTTACCCACATATGGGGCCATCATGCCACTGCTTGGTAATGTAGGTACAAGGTGTTCTGATGAGCATCCAGAAGCCAGAATTTCAGTCTTGGATCTAACACTATTATTACAACCCTAGAGCAAAGAATTTAACTTCTAGGGTTTTTATTTCAGTTAGGAAATTTTATGATTCTTTGATCCATTCTTCATTGTAGAAATTGAATTTCTGTGACTGGCTGCATACAGCTCAGTGGCAGGACACATGCTTAGCATGTACTAGGTTCCAGTACTGAAAAAATTCAGTTTATTGATATAAATACTACTCTCAGGATTCTGTCCAGGAAGGTACTGGATAGGAGCTTCCAGTCGCTCTTCTGTTCCCAGGTCACACCACTTCTTCCTTCCTTCCCATCGTCCTGTGCAGAGGTGATCCAGGGAAATGCTCACAATTCACCCAATGAACAATCCTGTCAAATTCAGATGACCTAGACCTTTTTCTCTTCTCTGACCAGAAAAGTTACAACTGTGGAAGGTCGGAAAGTAAAGAGATAGAAGAAAACAGTCCTTACTATGCCATTTTTTTTTTTTGGTCTTTTTGAGACAGGGTCTCCCTGTAGTCCCAGCTGCCTTGGAACTCGCTGTGCAGACCAGCCTGGTCTTGAACTCACAGAGATCTGCCTGCCTCTGCCTCCTAAGTGCTGGGATTAAAGGCATGTGCTACCACTCCTGGATAATATGTCATTCTTCAATGAAGAACAAGAAGAGGCCTAGTTAGGAGCTATAATTGTTTGAAAAAAAAGCACTTTGTGAAGAGATACAAGTGTTGTTTCTTGGTAGTCACATAGGAGAGTTCTAGAAAGGACATGGAGGCAAAAATTTCCAGGGAGAAATGGATAAGAAGGTTGCATGAACACTAACAAGAGGTAGGCTTGCTTTCAAAGAAGCCTCCCCTGACCACCTCTGACCCAACTACATTTCAACTAGTTTGAAAAGGTCCCTAGCCAGCCAGAACCATGGCTAGATTGATAGACAGATGATTGTTCAGACCCCCAACATCATAAAATGGAGAAAAGAAATGCAGCTTTCCACTTAAGAAATGGGGATCTGGGGGCCCAAGAAATGGTTCAGTGGTTAAAAAATGCTTACTGATCTTGCAGAGGACCTGAGTTTGGTACCTAGCACCCATGTAGGGAAGCTCACAACCACCTATAACTCTAGCTCCAAGAGATCTGATGCTTTCCCCTGACCTCTGCAGGCACAGATATACTTGCATGTGCATAATTTTTAAAAAAAATTCTTTAAAATAAAAGAGGCAGAGATCTGAAGTAGGGTTTCTTCTTCCTTGTTTTTCATGATAGGGTATTGCTACAATCTTACTGTGAGTTTTCTAATCTGCTATATAGTCATTCAATGATTATCTTTTACACTGTAATATAATGATTTCATCATTTTCCTTAAAACAGATCAAGTGACAAGTATAGACATATTTAAATATCTCACTTAATGTTATGTCTGATCTGTTGATTCACATAGATGTAAAGAATAGAGAGAGCATCTTAAGTTTCCTTTGAGCACTATAATTCTTCTGAATTTTGGGGAAAACGATTTTTGATTGTGGCAATCAGAATATAAGATGTGAACCCAGACTGATAATGCTTAACTGAGGCAAAGTCACCTAGTCAGGCTTGCTTTTCCCATTTCTCAAGTAAGGCCACTGTACTGGTGTGTGTGTGTGTGTGTGTGTGTGTGTGTGTGTATGTTGTATGTGTCCAACATGACGAAAGGGTTCAGTGGTAAGATGATGGGAATGGGACTATAACTTGGGATGAGAGGTTTTTGTTTATTTTCAAAATCACCTATCTGTCTGTCTATCTGTCTATCTATCATCTATCTGTCTATCTATCTATCTATCTATCATCTATTCTATCATCTATCATCTATCTATCACCTATCCATCCATCTATCTAAAACTCTATTGTGCATATATACCACATTTTGCTTACCTATTTGTTGATGGATACTTGGGCTAGCTCCATCTATCTACTATCTATCTATCTATCTATCTATCTATCTATCTATCTATCTATGTATCTATGTATCTATCTATCTATCTATCTATCTATCATCTATCTATCATCTATCTATCTATCATCTATCTATCTATCTATCTATCTATCTATCTATCTATCTATCTATCTATCTATCATCTATCTCTGAACCATTACTCCTGTTAAGCAGGATGGATAACCACATCACCTCTAATGATGTTGACGGGGGTGGGGTGGGGGGTGGGACATGGAGGTTAAGGGGATTATGGTGGTTAAGGTAACACAGTGGAAAGAAAACTCACAGTGTATCAAATTGTAGAATGTTATGCATGAGAACTCCCATACCATAGCTAGTATCATTACTCAAGGCAAGAAAGTTGTCACCTCTCAAATCATCTATCAAGCCATCTATTTTAGTGCCTTCAAACTCTTTGAATGATCAAAATACTTTTGGAGAAAAAGTTTTTGCTTTCTTAATTAAAAGGGACATATGACCGTTAATTAAAATGAGTTTAAGACAAAGCACTGTACTCACCACTTGTACAGAAGTGCATAAGTTCGTGAATGGTGGCAAGGCGTTTAGTGCTGTTCCAAGGTGGGGGCAGAGGGAACTGAAGGAATTCCCACAGGGGCAGCTTAGACTGCATCTCTTGCTCAATTTGAACTGGGTCAAAATTCTTTTGGTCCTTCCAAAAAAAAGAGCAATATGACAGAAAACATTAAAGTGAGCTGTCAAGCGCCTTATGCATATGGAGAAGGCTAAACATGATACCTTTACTCTCATTATCTGGAAACAGGGGAAATCAGGGGTAATTGAGGACGACAAACTCAGTATTTTGCTGAAGGTCAAAAATCCTCGTTCTCACTTTGCCAACAGTTCCCCACTTGCAGAAATGACTGATCCTTCATTCCCAGTGACAAGCTGCCAAAGACTCATGTGTATTCATCTCTCTCTTCTGCGATCCTTGTCTGCATCTGCTAGAGCAGCAGATATTTAAAGCGAGCAATCATACAGTCGGTTTTAATGTAAATTTAACGGTGGTGACATTCAAGTCAGTTGTCAGTGGGACCCTGGCAATTACGCTCGGCTTTGCTGACACACTTCTCCCGTTTTCTGAGATCCCACAAGGTAAGCAGGTATCTATTCTGTACATTTAGTTTCAGAGATGTTTCCAACTGATGAGTTGCAAGTGAGCTTTCTCCCATCAGCTATTGGGGGCGTGTGTGACATATTATTACCTTCAGTGCGTACTTCTTGTGGGCGAGGGCGTCGTGATAGTTCAGTAGGTGAGGACCTTTGGGTACTGCTTTACTCTCGGTTTCTCCTTCAGCTAAGAATATTTCACGGAGGTTCTATTTAAATCAAAATAATGTTAATTTAATGAGATAATACACACTTTTCAAAGCACGAAAACCCTTTATCTTGTTCACTCCTCCTGACCTTCTTCTCTCTCTCTGAGAGGCAGAGTGAGGGCAGGATTGACACAATGTGAGCCGCAATCCTGTAGTCTAACCCATCTGCTCTGTGCGGTGGCTCCACCAGACTCGGAGGGACAAGGTCTTCTTCAGTTGCTACGACCTATTGAGAAAAACAGTTGGGAAGAACTGGGGTGGTGTGAGCTCTTTTCTGACGATCTCGCATTTGTCTCTGTTACTCTCAAGAAGAAGGAGCAGGTCCACTGATTAAAGTATCAGCAATTATGGAAGCAAGGTGTCAGTAATGACCAAAATAACAGGGGATATGTTCGAAGTCCATGCATTAAACATAATTTTAACACCTCCCTTAAAATAGATGACGCAAGATAGAAATAGAAAACAATAAACTTTACTATGATAAAAGTCACAATAGCCATTTAAAAATATTTATGTTTTCTCATAAGGCACTGAAAACAATGCTCATATAACTTTGCATTCAATAAATATTGCTGAGTGCATACCAGGTGTCAGGTACTGTGCAGGAGATGGAGCTGCACATACATCCACTCATCTGCACATACATGAACTCGTGTGAGCCTCACTGCAGTCTCTCACACATAAATCATTTCCTACTTTATAGAGAAGAAAACTAGGCTGAGTAAATTGGAAGGTGGGTCCAAATCCATAGTTACTGAGTTAAGGAACTGGAGTTCAGGCCAAGTCCTCATTTGTTCTTGAAAACTAAAAAAATGGGGGCTAGAGAAATGGCTCAGAGGTTAAGAGCACTGGTTGCTCTTGCAGACCACCAGCGTTCAGTTCCCAGCACCCACATGAAGCAAACAACCATCCATAACTTCATTTCCAAGGGATCCGATGGCCTTTTCTGGCCTCTGCAGGAAGTGCCTGACATGGGTACACTTACATACAAGCAGGCAAACACTCATATACATACAATAAAAATAAATTCCAAAAAACTATAAAAATGTAGTGTAGTGAGATCAATAATGGATAATAGTTACCGAGTGGAGCAAAGGGAGGCCTAGAACATGAAAGGCTTTGTTCGATTTTGCTTGGTAAGCAAATAAAAGCAGCTGAAAGCACCAAATACCCAACATCAACAGCTAGTCTTCCCCTTCGACTGTAGATCTTACAGTCATTGCCATGATTTTGTCTTCCTCTACAAGGTTTCTCAGCTTGGGTGCTCGTTCCATTTTGGACTAGGTATTTGTTTTAGGGTGGGGTTGTCTTGTGCACTATGGATCATTTAGCAGCAACCTCTGCATCCTATGTGATGAAAGTGACATGCTTCCCATTCTTCCCATTATGCAAACCAATCTCCAGTGATTGTAAAATGTTCCCAGTGAGGCAAAATAAGCCCCCATTGAGAATTACTACTCTAGAAGAAAAGAGAATCATACGCTTTACCTTTTACTGATCATCCATCTTTCAAAAGAGTCACCCCTGGTTTTACTTTCTATCCTCCAGTCATCTGGTGGATTCACTGAAATCATGAAAGGGCAATCAAAATTGTTCCACCTCTGAAATGTTGAACTCTCATATCTACTTCTGTAAAATGCCATCCCTTTGCTTTGCTATGTCTTACAGCTAGATCTTTATTCATTCACACATACCTACAGGGGGCCTTCCCTGTCAGACACTGGACTCCTCAGCAATGTCGCCTGCTATCTGGAACTTACTAGGTGGTTACCAAATATTTGCTGTTTTGAGTTGATTTGGACAAAACAAGAGAAACCATGGTAAATAAAGTGATGATACTATAAGAGTTACAGGACTTTTGAACTCTTTCAAATGTATTGACATCGTGAAATCATCAGTCTTATTAAAGTCTTATGAGGTGATTAAAGGAAAACAAAGGGAGTCAGCATCCATAAATATGTGTCCTGGAGGGAACAAAGATGTTAGATCCTAAACAAAACTTTAAAGACCATTCCCATCTGGCATAGCTGTGCACATGCCAGAGAAACAGTATCCCTGAACCAAATACATGAATAGGTGATTGTGAAATAAAATCAATTTATAAATTGGAAACATTATTACTGAAACTGCAACCGTGGGCCAGACTCCATTAAAGTATGAATTAGTAGGAAGTTATGCTAGAAATACCAACAGAATAAAATTGAAAGAAAATGTAAAGACAAGATAGAAAATCCTGAAGTTTCAACATTCATTCAAATAGCATTTGAAGATATAAGAGATTCTTCTCAGGATCCACGAATAGCTCAGCAGCTTATGTGCTCAGCATCTTCATGGGTCAGGTATCAGCTGTTTCATGCTGAGCACACACAGTGGCTAAGACGCCACACTATTCAAACATTTGAAAAAGAAGAGCTGCTAACAAGAAGAAAATAATGTCGGGGCTGGAGAGAAGGTTCAGCGGTTAAGAGCACTGGCTGCTCTGGTAGAGGTCCTGGGTTTGATTCCCAGCACCCACATGGTCGCTAACAACCATCTGTAACTCCAGTTCCAGAGGATCTGACACCTTCTTCTGACCTCCAAGGGCATTGCATGGCATATGCAGGCCATACATGCAAACACATACAATAAAAATATTTTTTTTATTAAAATATTTTCTTTATTATTTTTATTTTTATGTGTATGCATGTATGGCCTGCATACGTGTGAGTGCACCTGTGTCATGCAATGCTGCAGAGGTCAGAAGAGGGCTTCAGATTCCCCTGGAACTGGAGTTAAGGATGGTTCGAAGCCGCCATGTAGGTGCTGGGAATCGAACCCGGGTCCTCTGCAAGAGCAGTCGGTGCTCTTAACTGCTGAGCCATCTCTCCAGCCCCCAAATAAAAATAATTTTTAAAAAAGAAGAAAATAATGTGGCAGAGAGAGGCCTATGTGTCCTGGAACTTATGTATTTTTATTTTATTTTATGTGTATGAGTGTATTGCTTGCAAGTATATCAGTGTACCCATGTTGTGCAATGCCCACAGAAGTGAGAGGAAGGCATGTCAGAACCCCTGGATCTGGAGCTACGGATGGTTGTTAACTGTCATGTGGGCGCTGGGAACTGAAAGGTGCTGGGTCCTTTACAGGAGCAGCTGTGCTCTTAACTGCTGAGTCATTGCTCTAGCCCCACCTGGAACTTCTTTGACTAGGTGGTCAGAGAAAGCTTCTCCAAGGAAGACCATTTATACTGGAGAGTAGATCACAGGTGGTATGTGATAAAAAGACTTGCCTTGTAGAGGAATTGGAGTAGAAGGGCAAGGTAGATGTAATATATTTGAGAAAAAAATTAGAAAGCTTATGCATATGAGAAATGTACGTGTGTGTGTGTGTGTGTGTGTGTGTATACACGCATGTGCATATATATGCACTGTGCACATGTGTGGTGAGGGACAGGGGTGAGATGACAGAAACAGTCCAGAAACATATTTTAAGTCCTTTCGGGAAACAAAGGAATTTTGATTTTACTTAGGATGCAGTTGGAAAACAGTTTATAAGTATGATAAGGTCATACTGAGGGTCATTGTTTGGATGCGGTTTGTTCTCTCCCAGGTCCATGTGTTGGAGGCTTTGTTGTCAGTGTGGTGGTATCAAGGTGCTGAGACAAAGCTTTAAGAAGCCAAGCTTAGTGGGAGCTCAACAGAATGTTACCCTTTGTTATGGTTTGCAATGCCCCACATAGGCTCATGGACTTGAACACTTGGCCCCTAGCTGGAGGAAGTGGGTCACTGAGTGAAGGCCTTGTGTTTTGTAACCAAGTCCTGTTCATTCTCTGCTTTCTGACTGGGAATGAAATGTGGCCAGCAGCCCCTGGTTCCTGCTGCCATGCCTTTCCTGCCTTGATGGGCTGTAAGTCAAAATAAACCCTTTCTCAAACTGCCTCTTGTCAGGTGTTTGGTCACAACAATAAAAAAGCAACTAATGCATTCTTGAAAGAGATTAAAGTAATTCTCATGGGAACAAATGAATGGGTTTTAATGTGGCATTTTTCAGGCCTGGGTGTACTGAGGCTTGAACATATAACATTTCTTTGAAAAAATTAATATGATAGATATGGAGCGATTAACAAGATAAAAAGTGAAAAGGAATTGATCAATGGAACATAATGTTTCTTTGAGTAGATCAAAATGATAGATATATCATTAGCTACCACAATCAAGTAAAGAAATGGCACAAACAGAAACCATCAGCCACAAGGGTGGGACCATCTCAGGTGCTGTGTTGTTGGTGAGGTCTGCCTGGGAACATGGAGCTTCCCATGGTCCTGACTGGTGGTACAGTGCTTCTCTCCACTGACAGTCACTTCTTTTTCTTTCTTGTTTTTCCTTTTGGATTTTTGAGACAGGATCTCACTATGGAGCCCTGGCTGGCCTAGAACTCACTACATAGACTAAGCTAACCTCAAATTTGAATTCGCAGAGCTCCACCTGCCTCTGTTACCTGAGTGCTGGGACTGAAGGCATGCACCACGCCCAGCCTAACGATCATTTCTTTGTATGTCTTTGGGAACATCAAGTGTCCTTTTCCCCATCAGCTTTCCCACAAGATGGCTCATGCTTTGCCTTCACTGCCTCACTAATACGACACTGCATACAGAACAATTTAGACACTGCATTTCAGTAAATAGCGTAAAGAACCTTATCCTACATTGGAACAAAGAGATTAAGCATTTTTATGAGAAATACTGATGACTAAAATTTACTTCAAAAGTAGAAAAATGTCAAACCTAAGACTACAAAGGAGTTTTAAGGATTAAAGATAGAGCTACAGAGATGAATCAGAGATTAACAGTGCTTGATGCTTTTGCAAACATCCTGGGTTCAGTTCACAGCACCCATACTTGGTGGGTCACAGCACCCACCTATGACTCCAGGTCCAAAGGATCTGATGCCCTTTGCTGGCCTCCTGAGGCACCTGCATGCATCTGTGTACATAAATTCATCCAGGCATACACACATTCACACAAATTTGAAAAATCTTGGGGTCAGAGAGATGGCTCAGCAGTTAAGGGCATCGGTTATTCTTGCAGAGGATCCAGATTTGGTTCCTAGCACCCAACAACCATCCATACTGCCAATTTCAGGGGATCTGATACCTTCTTCTGACCTCGTGCGCATTGTGTGACATGGGTGCACTTACATACACTCACGCACATAAAATAAAAATAATATTTTTTAAAAGATTAAAGAATTCTTACAAAGAGTAAGACCATTAAGCAGCTCACTCATCTGCTCATGTCCTCTTCCTTTTCTGCTGAAACAAGCCTACATAAAGACAGCTTTAAGAAGACCTTCTACTGCAGCTGACAAGTATCACCTCTTCCAGTGCATAACAAGAGAAACAGGATCAAACATGTTAGTAAAATCAAATTTTAGTAGTGCAATATTCTGTCCTTTATAAATGGGAATGAATTCAGATATTTTGAGTATAATTATAAAATCATATTGAAAATGGAAGTGAAGAGAGATGAAGTGACTTATTGAAGGTTGCCACTGGGGTAAAAGATTCAGCGTCTACCCACCTGCTCCAGCATACAGTGCAGCATAAGGGGCACAGAAATGAATTCCTCCGGAACTGGATTCAGCAGATCATTGTAATACCTCATGTCTACTTCAGTGGTGATGATAAACGCTATTGTAAAATGAAGAAAATATCATTCATTGCCCAGTTAAGATGTGTTATTTCTTCCATTGAAATTTCCTGCATGAATTCAAACTATGACGGTGTGCCTGGAAACAGGATCTGTAGGTGGAGGGTAGCTGAACGCCATACCAAGGACAGTCGTTAAGCCTTAAAGATGTGGCTCCCCTACTTGGACTCTATTCTGCAAGCTAATCTAAGAAATCAATGTGTGTGTGTATATATACATATATATGTATATAATATTATATATAATTTTAATTATATATATACAGATGTGGCCCCCTCAGCAGCTGATTTTATACATTTATACATGCCTGGGGGAGGATCTTGCGGTTCTTCAGATTGCACTTTCTTCTTTCCAGGGGCCAGAGCAGTAGGTGGAGGAGGCTGAAAGAAAAATCATTACAAAGAAACCACTGAGGTATCCAGTTGAGAGGCCCTTTCATCAAATGCTGGCATGATGCAATGCCACAGGATCCTGAAGTCGTATTTTCACACCACAAACCCTTAAAGGATCAGAAGAAATGATTTTATTATGAGAAATTAAGAAGCTACAGGGCGAGGATGCTGGTTAGTTTTTCTTGATACAACCTGCTAAGCAACTGTAGCAAGGATGATCAGGTGGATGGGACCAATAGGCACGGTTTTCCTTCCCTGGATGACCTGAATCATGCCATTCTCCAAGTCAGCGAATCTCTATTGAATTCAGGACAAAATTCAACGAAATCTGCTAACTCGGCACCCAGGGGGCATTCCTGCTCTGCCTCCCAGCTCTGGGCTTCAGTTCATATTTTCAGTCTCCAGTTTGCTCCGGCAGCCTGGGAACATGGAATGTCCCCCTGCTTTTGGTTTGTATGGTAGTACTTTTCTTTCTTTCTTTCTTCCTTTCTTTCTTCCTTTCTTTCTTTCTTTCTTTCTTTCTTTCTTTCTTTCTTTCTTTCTTTCTTTCTTTCTTTCTTTCTTTCTTTTTCTTTCTCTCCTTCCTTCCTTCCTTCTTTCTCTCTCTTTCTTTCTTTCTTTCTTTCTTTCTTTCTTTCCCTTCCTTCCTTCCTTCCTTCCTTCCTTCCTTCTCCTCCGTCCCTCCCTCCCTCCCTCCCTCCCTCCCTCCCTCTCTTTCTTTCCTTTTTAAACTTCCATATCATGGTGCATTTTGTGTTCTCTTCTTCAGAATATTATTGTGCACCCTCATCAGTTTCCATTAGGTAATTCATGCTGTTTTTACCATAGCACTAACCTGGATCCCCCTGTCTCCACCCATCTGCTCCCCAATCCGGGTGAGGTGATGTTTTTATTTTGTCCATCTCTTGCTATGCTAAAACTGCTCTTGACATGATGGCACCCCTTCAAAGGCTTACTTCAGGTAAGAGGACAGGACATGAGCCTTCCCTGTGGTGTCACCAGCATCTGGCAGGGAGAATGAGCCCACAGCAGGCTCTAGATAAACACTGGTTCTAGATTAAACCCCTTGCTCTATGTGTGAGTTATTGCGCCCTGTGCGGACTGGTTCCATTTGTACTTTGTCAGGGGTCAGGTAGTTGAGGAGCTTCATAATGACCTCACAACACTGCCCTTAGTGCTCTCCCTAGGGACCCTGTTTCTGTTCTCATCCTCATGCCTTAACACATCAGGCAGTATTACCCTGATATAAATGTTCATGTAATCTTTTCTTCACATGCTTTATAAAAATGAAAATCACACTCCCTTTGGCCTATGCCTGGAACCCACCTCTGGAATGGGTATGGCTTCCAGCACCATTTTTTCATTAACCACCTGTGGGACATTGATGAGCTGCATGCTTTCCAAGTAGTGCTGGTGCTGCCTCTTCCAGTCCAGGCTATCGTACATCAAACAGGCAATGTTCTCAAAAATTTCCGTGCCCAATTCCAGCTACAAGTGAAGGAATCAATATCAGTTCCTTATTCATTTCATACTGTCAGAACAGATGGAATATTTATAACTCCTTTTCCAGATAAAGTTATTGCTTTTTACAATACAGTTTTTACTGAACCATTGGATTCCAGTTTTGGTGGCCAAGTCTTCATTCACAAATTCTTCACACCTTCTTGGTCACTGTAATGAAGAAGTTAATTAATGTGTCAAGTAAGTGAAAAGCAATCTCTTCATTAGCTTCTGCACTACAGCCTTTATTTTTGGTGTTTCGATTCCTGAAACATGTTAGATAATTGTGATACCCTTGGCTAAAGATAAGCAATAGATAACTCTTGCCTTACTGTCCAAAGAACACAGTGCAGCACAACGAATTCCCTCACTCTGCTTAGCATATTATCGGAGTTCGCTGCAGTGTATGCAAAGTCAAGATTTCTTCCATTCCTTCTGTCCTTTTACCTTTCACTGGGCTGACTTTCACCTGTGCTGCTGTTAGGGAGACACTCAGTGAAATTCATATAATCTATTGCATCTATGATATTCCCAAATTTTATGTTATAAACTTGCTATGTTTATTACTTGAGCTTTCATCTCCAGAAGTAGGGAAACGCTGTGATTGATACGTCTGTCTGTTTGCAAGCAGAAATAGGCTCATCCTACATCTGTGTTGAAGGTTAAGGTAGAATGGGAGTGCTTCTGCAGGGCCAGTGACTCATAGACTGGACGAGGTCTAGGGAAATGCTCAGTTAGTTCTGCCTGTCACAGCACACCTGTCTGCTTCATAAGCTCACACCACAACTGAGTCTTCAGTTAAGCTGCAAATTGGTATTCTGTGCCTATATTCTGACATAGATGCAATTAAAAAAATTTTTATTTCTAGGAAATATAGTAAAGCTTCCATCCAATGATCCTTTAGCATAACCTATTTAATTCATTCAAAAATTCATTATCAAATGATATGCTAAAGGCCATCAAATTATTTCAACAACCAGGGTTTGCCTTGAGATGTTTCAGATGTCTTACAGAAGCAGTTAGCATGTTTTAATTGGTATTTATTTGATGTAAAGCTTTCATTACCTTAAATAATCAGAATACAGCCTGTTTGTTTGCAGCCAAAGCATGCAAACACTTTCCTCCACCCTGGGAGGAGGGAGGATTCCTTGCTGGCTCCTAGGTCAGTTACCAACTAACTCATAGATAAGAACTGAAAGTGGCTCGATCCGCTTCTGCTTCAACAGCCTTAACACTTTTATGCTTATTAAGTGATCCTAAGTTTATGATGGACTTTGGCTTTCAACGTTAAAGCCAATGAATGGCCTTTTCTCCTACAATTCAACTTTATTCTGAGTCATTTTTATTTTTAGAATTTTTGTTTTTGGTCTTTTTGAGACAGGGTCTCTCTGTAGCCCCAGCTGTCCTGGAACTCACTTTGTAGACCAGGCTGGCCTTGAACTCACAGAGATCTGCCTGCCTCTGCCTCCCGAGTTCTGGGATTAAAGTCATGTGCCACCATGCCCAACTTATTCTGAGTCTTTTTAAAGGAAGTTCTTCATTGCCATCTTCAATGGTGGGGCTTTCACTCTCAGACCATATCTTGTAGAGACAGGCCTGAGCCTGTGGTTACTGATGCTAGATACCAACCAAAGCCCTGGCATGAAACGGATACTCTAATTACCTACAAATGGACTGATAGGAGGTAAGAGGTCCCCAGGTTGGGACCAAAGTCCTATGGTTCTCTTTAGAAGTGAATGCTTTCAAGGCCCAACTGGATACATTGAACATTATTCTTCTAGTTCTGAATTCAGGAATGATCTTCCATAACTGGCATTTCAACTAAGCTGGTAATATCTCTTCAACATAAAGTGGTTTTTCTGAAGTCAAATTTCTACTTACACTTTTCTATTCTATATTTGCTAAAACACCAACCACCCCTTTCTTTAAAGTGGAATGATCCCTATCTCCTGATGGACAGGAAGCTGTGGACATGGAAGCAGAGAGCAGGATGTTGTGAATGGCCCTGAGTCTTCTGAAGCTCTGACTGTCATCATGGGGCTCGGCTAGTGTCTATATCCCAATGACACAATGGCATGTACTCTACTGGGGCACAATGCCTTTCAGCTTTTATCAGCATGTCCCTGGAGATTAGAGAAGATCCACAGAAAGGCCCCTGCTTGTGCAGGAGCGAAAGGTATTTAGTTTAAGGATGTGTTAGCATTCTTCTCTGGATTATGCTGCAGAAATTGTATGGTTAGGATCACCTATGCCATACTGAATAAAAACATATACAAGTTCTTTGTGTGTGCGCGCACGCGTGTGTGTGTGTGTGTGTGTGTGTGTGAGTGAGTGTGCACATGTATGTATATGGGTTCACACGCATGTGTGTACAAGTGTATGGAAGGCCAGAGGTTGACATCGGGTGTCTCCCGCAAGTGCTTTCCACTTTGGGTTTTGAACCAAGTTTCTGTCACTGAACCTGGATCTCACTGATTGACTAGACTGCCCAGCCAGTGATCTTCAGGCTTCTACTTATCTCTGATGCTCAGTGCTGGAATTATAGGTGTGTGCTGGCACTCACAGCTTTTATGTGGGTGCTGGGGATCTGAACTCAGGTCCTCATGCTTGTGCAGCAAGTACTCAGTTCCAAGTTCTTGATAAGGTGTGTAGCCATGAAAGGAAAAATATTTCTCTAAGTTATAGTTTCATTAGCTGCAGATACTGTGTGCACTGGGGTTCGGGAGAGGGGAGCCCATCTAGCAAAATGAGTAGAATGTTGGATTTATGTGGGGCTTTGGAATTCCAAGAAGAAATCTTATTTCCTAAATGCTGTCTCACATTTATTGGGTCTAATCTAGAATTCCAATAAATGCAATTTAGAAATCAGTAGTACTTCATTATCGGAAATACCAGTATCTCTGGGATAGGGAATTAAACTGACTCAATTTTATAAGCACCAATAAAGGACGGGTGACAGCGGATCTCCTGACCTCAGGTTTGGGAAGCAGGAGGTTGAGAGGCAAAGCAGGAAGGTGGGAAGATGCAAACAAGGTACAGAGTCACCAGCTGCTAAAACGGCCTCTTTCTATGGCGTTCCTGCACCAGCTTCATTTCCATACACAGGACAAGCCTAACTTTTGTTCCTGCCATCGGTGGGTGACTCAAGTGTTCTGTTTCTACATAACATCGAATGTCTTATGTTGAAAAGACTTTTTTAAACAATGGAGCTACCTAATGCCATTTATTCAAGTCCTGCCTATCCTCAGGGCTCATCAGTGGCCCCCTCCTCAGTGCTCTCTCTCCTTTCACTACGTCCCACTCATCTGAAGGTAATGGGATCAAGGCTTATGAGCAGCAGAAGTGTGATGGTCCGTGGTCACAGGCAGACTGCCCATCGGCACAGAAACAGCTCCAGGTTTGGATCTCACTGTCTTCTCAGCGTTTTCTTGGTCCTTTTCTTTTTCCTTTCCTTCTGTTTCCTTTCCCCCTTTTCCGTTTCCCCTCCCCTTCCCACCCCACCCTCCCCTTCCCGCCGCCTCTCCTCTTCCCTCCCTTCCTTTCCCCTCCCCTCCCGTCCCTTCCTCTCCCCTCATCGCTCCCCCCACTCCATGCAGCTTTGCTTGGCTCCTTTCAGAGCCTGCAGTCAACGTGGTCTATCCCTAGGCCCTGCTGTCAGTTCAGCTCTCCTGATGCTGTAGCATGTAGCCTGCAGGGCCCCTGTTCACAGAAGCAGGAGCTTAGAAAAACAGTGTTTTAAAATTGATATACAAAAAATCAGAAATCTAGTTACATTTTAAACTATAAAATTTAGTATCTTCACAGCTAATATATGTATTAAGATCCTAATTATTACATAGATCATTATTGAAGTATAAAAAAACCCAAAATGTCACTAAATAAAACAATCACCATTACTTATGACCATCTGCTGTATCTTGCCATCATTAATCATTCACCAAAAGCTAAAGAAACATACTACAACCATTACTGGACATTTGCTATTACCATTGTCCCAAAGATGAGAGAGTCCAACAAAGAGCATAGTTATCTGCCTAGGAAATACCTGTGGAATGAATGGCCAGTGAAAACGGACTGCCACGCACTTTCACTGACAAGTGTACTCACCATCATCTCGTCATCTGACCAGTCGGAAGGAAAATCCTCTGCTTTGACTGTGTACTGAAGTCGAGCAACATCAAAGAGATTCGTTTCAGGTTTGTCATTATTCAGGATTGGTTCCAAGTACTTCCAGAAAACTTCAAGCTCCTTTATGGTATTTTCTCTCTTCAAATTTTCAGCTTCTATAGCTAATAATAGCAAAATGCTTTACTATGAAATGAGACTATTGAATTTCTTCCCACTTCACCTTGGCGTAGTGAGTCATATACATTACGAGACACAGAACCTTGAGAAGCTTTTGAAGCCTGAAAACACAACTATAAAATTAGAAGAGACTGATAATTGAGCTCATACTATGCCTTCATTTCATGGTTGAGGCCCAGAAAGATTATGATAAGGTCACATGTTTCGGGAGCTAAGGCTGGTCAAGATTCCCATCTCTCTGAGATTGAATTTGTATAGAATTAATCCTGCCAAATCATGTTTTGACCATATTTGTGCATGCGGCATAACTAGCTTAGAAGATGAAGCTGATTCACTCCTTCTCATAGGCCCAAAATCAGACTGCAGTGAGTGATTTATGCTCTAGTTAGCATTTGGTCATGTCACAACAGCTAAAGTCTTTTTCTGGGCATTTGCCCTCTGATTATAAAATAATGGCAGATTTCCATAAAGTTAGACCTGAAAATTTGCCTGAAATATTTATGTTTATTACATCTATAACTAAAGTTGGGTTGACACTTGGCTCTCATTCTATAGTACAGTCTATGATTATTTTTATTATACATACTTTTTGAAATAGAGTCTTAACTCTAGCCCAGGCTGAGCTGGAATTCACTATGTAGCCTGAGATGGCCTTGAACTTTTGGATAGCCTCAACCTTAGCCTGCCTCAACCTCCCAAGCACTGGGATTACACGTATGAGCTACTATGCTGTCTTACAGAGTCTATTCATGCACTACACGAAACACCTTTAGAGAGATTATATTTGGTACTTATGCAGCATTTTCTCACCAGCTTCAATAGTAAATTATTTAATGTACCTATCCTTTGAGATATTCAGTGGTCTGGGTTTGAAATTTAGATCGTTGGCTTAATAATTGTCTTTAGTTCAACAGTCTTTTTTAGTAAAATGAAAATAATAAAACATATTTCTTGAGAGTGTTGTGAAAACTGCATGAATCAGTGAACTAAGAGCCCTTAGCACTGAGCTCAGCCCTGAGATATGTGCTCAATAAATGGTAAAATTATCATTAGAGATAGTGATTTTTAGCTTTGAGGAACACTTAAAGAAATATAGTGTTATAGAAATGGGCATGTGGCTATGTAAGTGAAAATGTGTGGTGCAGATATTACTAATGCATTTAAACCAACACACATAGTAGACAGAACTTGACTCCTGGAGGTACAAGCTTACACTGATTCTCAGTTGTTACCTGAAGTGCATGGTAACTTTCCTTTCCCACAGATGTAATCTAGCACAGTTCTCTGAGATGAAGACCCCAAGGCTCAGAATGACTGAGTGACAATGTAGCTGGGACTTGATCCTGTAACTTCCTACTTTAAGACTGGAATACAGAATGTCCTCTGACTTTTATCACAATAAGCTAGTAATACATGCTGGGCAAGAATCTAACTGTGTAACCTTGTGGGGGCCGTTTGGCGACTATAGCATTTGAAGAAATGATTATCAACAGAGATTCATCCAGCCCGTGCTTTGGAGAGAAGTTATAGGTCAAAAGTTCCCAAGAAATGCAGTTATATAACCACACTTGATCTTAGCCAAAAGGTCAAGTAGTGATAGTTGTACAACTAAGTCTTCTGACCCGTAGTCTGTTTTCTGTGACTACACAGGGATAGAAACACAGAATATGATTTTAATTTGCCAAATTTATGACTCTTGGCTGATATAAGCGGAATGAATTGCAAATCAAAGTATTGAAAGGGTTTAATAATGTGCCTATTATATGACCATATTTTGGACAGCAGATGTACTTGAAGGACACAGGGTTGTATTGATGGACTCAGGAAGTTGTGTAGTTGACTGCATACCTTCTGGAAGGAAAGTTTCCTGCTGCTGGCTAATGGCTGCCAGGTGGGCCTGCAGAGGCTCATAATCTTCTGAAGATATTTTAATCACGCTGGTTATGGGAATGCCAAGCTCAGTCATAATGGCTAATAGCTGAGGATTGTTGAAGTCCACAACAATAATGTAATGTTGGGCACCATCATCTGGCTCATCGTCTGTTGAAAATACCGTAAAGAAGGTTAGCCATCATTGTTCGAGAGAACAGGTTGTACTCAGGCAGTTCAATGGCAATACACATTATGCATGCGTTTGGAATCCCTCCGGCTTGCCGAAACCCAGCCAGTTGGCTGGGATGCAGGCATGTTGACTGCTTTCATTATTGCCTTTCTAGTAAGAAGGCTGTGGCCATTTTACGAAACATTAAATCACTTTAGCAAATGGCACACAGGTGTAACGGGAGGACAAACGTGCATGAGGCCCCTGGCCATGGAAAACGGTGCTTGGGTTTTTGTCCGAGTTTGGCCTGCAACTAATTTCTTTTGGTTCTAATCTCTTTTCAGCAACATCTGGCTTTACTCCTGAATTACAAGTAGCTGCAGCTTTCCAGTACTTTATAAGTAGAGGTGTTTACAGGATAAGGAATTATTGAATATGGATGTCCTCCGAACTATGCACTGACTGCACTCATGCCAGTACTGTGAATCCTGGGCATCTGTTAGGGACAGCTATGTAGTCACTGCATTACATTTTTAAAATACACATTGTGCACTTTCTTAAAGTTTCCTCTATTTTTTATTGGTCATACCATTTTATGAATATTGAAAGACAAGCTTCTCTTAGAACAGATATTTGGGGGGGGTGTGGTAAGACTCACTGTTTTACTCTAATGTTGACCATATACAGTACAGGAAAGCCTTACATTGTACAGTGTATCCAGTAAGGTCAATGTACAAACAACACAGAAGATGTTTAACTTCAAGCTTTAAACAGTTATCTCCCTCAGACACTGGAAAGGTCAGTATTGGTATTGCCCCACGGAAGGCATAGCATCACTGCTTCCACATCCAGTGTCTTCAGAGCAGAGACTCATGAGAAGAAACCACTGATGAGGGGTGTGAAAGCTCAACCCTCTAACTAAAACATAATGCAGACCTAGCACTGCTGAAAATATGTGTGTTTATTAGAAATAATAAATAAATGAAATCCAAATAACAGGCAGGTCTATTTGGGTTCAAAGGGAAACAGCAACGAATTACCAGTAACTACCTCGGATGACTCATTTGTATGTCAATCATTTGAAATAGAAGCAAGTCCTACTTGGTCTATTTGAGACACAGTGATAAAGGGGAAACGTGGGCCGGGAAGCTGTATGCCCCCTGTGTGTCTCAGATTAAGTGGCCTGAATTTTTCACAGGATAAGAATCATGTTTTGATTTTTTAATTGTCTCTCTCTCTCTCTCTCTCTCTCTCTCTCTCTCTCTCTCTCCCCTCACACATGCACACTATTATGCACCTGTGGAGGTCAGAGGACAACTTGAGGGAGCTGGTTCTTTCCTTCCAGTATGTGGGCTCATGTCATCAGACCTGTCGGGGAACAGCTTTACCCAGTAAGCTGTCTTGCCAGCCCAATGACCATTTTTATTTCACCTTACAATTACATCTGACTTTCCACTATGTTCCCAACCAGATATTAAGAACCTTCGAGGCCCAATCGGCTGCTATTCTACTTTCTGTTTTCATGATGCAAACATGCCTCACAGAAACACATGCCAAATAAACAGCTTCTAAAAGCATAAATGAATTGCAAATAGAAAGACTTTTTTGACTGGAGTGTCATGGAGAGCAAGTTGTTCATGGCTTTATGAGAATGAAAAGGCTAGGAAGGATGGGGCATAGTCATTGGAGTGATCGGTACAGCCATGCCACAGCTCACAAAGCAAGAGGTGAGGCACCCTGTGGCTGGCGCCCCACTGACCGATGTATGTTCTGTTTTCGTCCTCCTCTCCCCTGCGTTTTAACTGCGTGGTCTTCTTCATGACTGCAGTAGCTTCAGGCTGGTCCTTCCCTTTTCCTTTAGCGGCCTTGGCACTGGAGACCTTCTCCTTGGGAGACTTTGCTTTCCCTTTGTCCTTTTCTGACTTCAATCTTTCCTCGATCATCTGGAATGAGAGACCATCCTTGTACCCCTCCAAACCATCTAATGATCCAGCAAGAGTTTTTCTAAGTCAGCCAAATCAGTTCTTTAATTCACTTTGTCAAACCAATTCTTTAATTCATTGCTTACTCATTTTAAACGAATCTATTCATTGTTGAAGTCAGGACCCTGGGGACTCCGGCTTAAATTGAAGCTCTGATAGGCATATCTATGCAGGAGGACTGGGGGCGAGGGTGGGGCACCAGTAGGTTCAGTCTTCTAGGGGAGATTCATCTGAAGGAGGTTCTCAAACCACCTAGCTCTGTGTGTGTGTGTGTGTGTGTGTGTGTGTGTGTGTGTGTTGGGGGTGGGGTGAGGCAGAGCAGGAGGATGAATCTGAGTAGACTGAGTAGTGCTGTCAGGTACTTAGGTTTGACTCTTAGCCTAGTCCAGGAGAGTGTCTATGTTAGTGTGAAAACAGACAGATAGACAGACAGATAGATAAATAAACAAACAAGCCAACAATCCCAGGGAAACAGAAAGGTTTTCTAAAATCCCCTTGATGTGCTTCGTAGTTTAAGGAAAGTGTGGATCATTTTTGAGGATTGAAAGAGCCTTCTGATATCTTAGCACTATCAAATTCTCTTTATTATAATTCTCCTTAAAAGCACACAGGCCTAACTAGCGGCTGCTACCTGATATACTGAAAGATGGGATCAGCAGAGGACAGCAGTCACAGCACTCTTCACAAACTGCTCTGCGGCACACTTAGATCACACACCTGCGGAAAGATCTAATAGCCCCATTTTTCCAAAACTTTCCAAAACTTTTATGTCATATTTCACAGTGTAACTGTGCTTTCAATGCCAGCCTTCATCAATTGAAAATGGTTATTGTCATTAAGATAATACAATGACAGTACTGGCCATAAGATGACTCTCCAGAAGATTTGCAATTTCTGTGCATTATTGATATTTTTTCTGTACTCAACAAAACTGAAGACAAAAATAATTAAAATATTGCACCACTATCGTCAACGTTGACATTCATTTCTTAAATCTAGGAAAACTACTTTGAAATTCTCTCAGACATTAGAGATGGGACAGGTAGAAGACACTATGCTTTGGTACTCAGCTAATAGGCCATATCATAGAGGGGGAGGGTTCTCCTTTACTCCATGTGCTTTTTTGGCTGCTGAAGGCTCCAAAGGAGCCAGTCCAGCTTGGGCCTCCACAGCTGGCCCCATTAGTGCTCACGACTGTCTGCACGTCTAGAATGAGGTGCTAGCAATGCTCTGCCACCCTAACACCAGACATCTCCAAAAGTGCTGGATGCTGCTTATAGCACTTGGTAAAGGCTGGTACAGGTGGTAAAAGTGCCAACTGTTTGTAGAAAATAAGAGAAGTTCAATGTGGATGAAGTATATGCAAGTGGCAAAGAGAGAAACAAACCAAAAATACACACCAACAGATCTGGAACAAAAAATACACTTTGGGGATGGAAGTGAAGGTTCAGAGGACCAGTCCCGTGCCTGATAAAAAGGGTAGTTAAAAGGGAAGGAGAGCATTGTCTTGTCAGTCAAGTCCACCAGACTTCCATGTCTCTCTCATTCCATCCGCAATGATATAAATGAAGTAGGAGTAATAAGAAAACATCTGCAAGAAAAGAGGTTGTGGCAGTGTGTGAGATGGCGTGCTCACCTACTCAGTCACTCACTCCGTAAACGTTTTTGTGAGTAGAGAGAACAGCAGAGCTGAGGGCAGTACTCGCCTTGGGTGAGGCAATGGCGAGCCCAGGGGAGATACTGAAGTGAGGAAGGACCCAGTATTTCCTCTGCACCTGATAGAAATCAGTGCCTAAAATGGGGCTAGGCTCTGCCTCCGTGAATTCATAGTAAAGGGAAAGAATGATAAGGTGTGTAAACAAGCTGACAAAAAATAACTACGGCTGGTCATGGTGGCCCACACCTTTAACACCAGCACGTGGAGGAGAAGGCAGGCAGATCTATGAGATCAAGGCCAATTAGTCTACACAGTGAGTTCCAGGCCAGCTGGGACTATAGGGAGACCCTGTCTCAAACAGACCAAACCAAAGCAAACACAAACAAATAAAATATCCCCAAACACCCCAAAAACAAACTACAAATTTTAGTGAAGATAGTAATAGAAACACAATTGAGGAGACTTCTCTTGTAAGTTGGTGATGGAAGGCTTTCTCTAAGGAGGTGACATTTGAGTGAAAACATGAAAAATGAGTCATGATACACATGGAAAGCAGGGAAAAGGTGACATGTGAAGGCCTTGGGCACAAAGGAACTGTGTATGGGGCAGGGAGGCCCAGGACAGGGTAGCAGCGGGCATGGGAAGGTCATCCAGGGGCTTGGAGGTGGGATGATAAATTCCTATCATTAAACATTTTGCAGGAAGATGGAAAGGTTTTAAGTGAGGAGTTCTACGAGTTTGCAAGAGGGGAAAATAAGTCTCTAAAAGAAACTCTGGAAACAGCCCACAGAAGATCCCCAGTGACTCACATTAAGGTGTTGGCAGAGTGAGAAAAGTAGGTGGATTTGAGATCCATTTTGGATGTTGAAACTGTGAGAGCTGATTACCTAGGAGTCATGAAGAAGGGGTCATATCAAAGAGAACATCCCAGATTTTGGTTTGACCCACTGGGTGGTTGGGTGGGGGGTGTCCCCTTACTGAGATAGAAAAGAATGTGTGAGAAGCGGTTTTGAATTAAGGTGGGAAGCTCATCGGGTGACCATATTACATGTGGGCAAGGCCACAGTCTCCTCTCAGAAGAGATACTGGCTGGAGTTGCAGATTCAGGAGTGGGTAACATAGAGATAGCTACTAATTTCATGATAAGAGATGAATTGAGTGAGAGCTCTTAAGAAATATGAGAATTAGACCTGGGATCATGAAAACTCCAACTAATCTGGCACAGGAGAAGAAGCCAGCACCAAAAGGTGATGGGTAGAAAAAGTGTAGAAAGTAAAGACAGAAGAGACCAAACAGGGAAAAAAGATGTGCTGACAGCTGTGGGAAGATAACATTAAGAGCAGCTGCGGTGGGCTGTGGAGATGGTACGCAAGGAGACGGTCACAGTAAGGGGACTGTTTGTATGGACAACTGCCTTTGAGAAGTTTGCTTGGGAAGGGAACCAGAGCTCTAAGCCATCTAGGAGACAAGTGGATGGCAGTGGGTTTAAGGTTGAGGTAAGTGTGTACCTATGTGTGTAAAGCCAGGAGCTGCGTTTGCACGTGGATGTGGTGATCCGGTAGAGAGGGAGGCATTGAAGATATGGGGAAAACTGAAAATTTCAAGATCATCAAGTAAGAAGAGAGAGAACATTTCTAGTTTAGCCACAAAGAGAGGCTCAGTGATTGGGTGTGGATAGAAGAAACGGGGAGGTCTTGATAGTGTTGAAGGAAAGCCTCAGTTTTTCATGTTGGCAGCTGGGACTGACAGATCCAATGCAGGGAGCTGCAGCAGCGGAGGTAATGTAAGAGTTATCCTAGGGAGTCGGAGAGCAAGCATGTCAAGGCAATGCAGCAGACCCCGGCCAGTGCTGTGGCCTCATTGGAATCAGCGTGTTGAGTCGTCTGAATGCTGAAAGTTGTCTTCATCTGCTCAGGCACAGACATGAAAATGGGGGTTGCTGAGTTCATTCTGGAAGAAGTTTTGCATGATGATCATGATGGAAGGGTAGAAGAGAGAGAGAGGAAAAAGAATTTGTAAAGCATGAGGAAATTACAATGATCTGGACCATGGAGTCTAAATCAAACAAATAACAGGATGGTATTGGATGGAAACCAGTGGCTTCCACGAATTGACGGTTATGATGTTCTTGGAGAAATTTTGTGTGTGTGTGCAGGATGCGGGGCAGGGGATATTATTGGGTCATTCATAAGAAGGAAGGGTAGGAAATTCCCAAGGCTAGAGAATGTGAGATCTTAAGACTTTAGTGATAACAAAGTTCACAGCATGACCACAGGGGTGAATGGCTGAGTTGGGACGAAGGGAATGAGTCTTAGAGAACCAAGAAGCCAATAAGAGCCATCGTCACAATGGGACAAAACAGAAAGGAAAAAAAAATCACATTGAAAAAGAAGATCCAGAGATGCCAAGAATGTTAGCGCTCATTCAAAAGTGTCCTGGTGGTGACAGATTAATAGCAGGCCCTGAGCAACAGGGGGTGTTCTCTGTGGCCAGGATGCTAATCGGGGTGTCAGGGTGCTGCAATCAGGGTGTCAGGGTATAAAGCACTAAGTGAACCCCTCTAGTTTGCATTTGAGGTTCTTTACAGGGAGAAAAACCTTCAGTTTCAGCCAATAGGTTTGCCCTATAAAACTGAAAGTAATATTCACAGCAGTAAATTTGCAAATGGGTATTCCAATCATGGCTGTCATCACGAATATTTTGATGTTTCTATCTACCGAGTTCATATTACATAGCAGACATTGCATCTTGTTAAGTTCTAACAGCTACAAAGGGTGGAGCATTGTCCTCACTTTACAGAGGAGGAGACAGGCTTGGTGAGGGCATGCAACAGTTTAATCTAAGTTAGTAAGTGGTAAAGTCAGACCAGTGGGCTGTATCACACTTGCTCTTTGGAGCATAACTATGCTCCCTGATTCTGATTAGCCTTCAGGCACTGGTAAGACTCACATAGGACCTCTGAGAACCCAGCCTTAGGTCAGGGTACATGCACCAGTATGCAAACCCCTATGCATTTCTCTGGTAGATATCTGGCCTTGCCATGGAAAAGTTACTGTTTGCCACCAAGTCTTCCAGAAGCCTTCACAGTTGTAATTTAAAACAAAGTCTCAGGGAAACCTTTTGATCTGAGATAAGGAAAATATTTTACATTAAATTATTTCAAAGCACACACTTTTCTTGATGTATCTATCTGCGTCTTCAGCATTCCACAGGTATTTGGTTAAGCATAGAAGAATATATATATATATATTTTTTTTATATAGCCTGTAGAGTCTCACAAAAATATTTTTAAGATCCCTTTCCA